AAAAAAAAAAAAAAACCCTACTATCACCATTAATTTATGAAGCTAATTATAAATACTTCTCTCATGACTATCCCTATAATAAATTAAGTACAATTACAATTATTCCCTAAGAGTGAATTTCTACAATTAGGATTTTAAATTTTATTGTTAATGTAAATGAAATATTTTTATTATCTTCTCTAGCTGGTTATCACTGTTATATTGCTTTCATGTAGTTATTGATTTTTTCTATTCATATTTTAACTGGTTGCATTTAAAAACAAATTTATAATATAATCATTTTCAATTACATTATTTTGTCTTTGATATAGAAATCACCACTGACTTTATAATTTCAAAAACTAACTGTAGCAGTATTTTAAGAAAGATAGCTTGATGGGTTTGATGTCACAATATATTATTTTCTTTTTAGAGCTATCTATTACAATCACTGTTATCCTTTCAGTTTGAGAAAAATGCAAAATTATGGAAAAAAATTGTGCAAAGATTAATAAATACTTGTTTTTGTCTCTCAAGTAAAGCTTAAAATACTTTGTCAAGAAACAAAATGTTTAGCTATTATCATGCTAGAACATCATTCATTCATTTATATTAGTAGGAACATGTTTTCCCAATCTTCCATTTTCAAAGAGAAGACGTTTTCTGTAAAGGCTCCTAAACTCTGACTGACCTTTAGCTCTTTCTACCAAAGTAGTATAAATTTTCACTTAGGTTATGTGGGATACCCACCCAACTGCCTGTGGGCTCTGTTCCTCTAAATTTCCCTCAATCATTTCCTTCTCTCTGGGACCTTCTGTCTGCAGATGTCTGTATACAACCCTCTGGTCTGCCACTGTGTGCTGTAATTTTTACAGGCATCTTCCCCTAGAGGGAGTAATGTAATTTTCCAGAGCTGCCTGCAAGTAGGTAGAAAAGAATAATTCTATGGTTCACTATTGGAATTTCCCTTTTTGCCTTACTCTAAAGGCACATTTTAAAAGAATTCTGTAAGTAATAAATTTGAAGTTTTTTTCTTTATCTGGTTCCCTTCATTATCTATCTCTTAATTAGTTCCCAACTTAATACTATCCCTTTTTGCTTGAGCAGTAACTCATTTACTTACTATATACATATAACATAGGTATGCATGTATATATACCTATTCCTCACTGTTAATAAAATACAAGCAAGCATCTTTCTGATATTCTCTACTTTTAGTCAAGATCCATCTGATATCATCAATGATATCTCTCATTCCATGTCCTTTTTCAGTCCAGCTTGAATTACTGTTAGCATAGTGCCTAAGGCACTTGACTGCTAACCAGAAGGCTGGCGGTTCAACCCACCAGCCACTCCTCGGAAGGAAGATGGGGCAATCTACTTCCGTAGTGATACTGTCTAGGAAGCCCAAGGAGGGGTCGCTATGAGTTGGGTCCGACTCGAGGGTGTATAACAACAACATAGGGTCACTAGTTAGGAACGCTGGTGACATAGTGCCTAAGGCATTTGACTGCTAACCAGAAGGCTGGTGGTTCAAACCCACCACCACTCCTCAGAAGGAAGATTGGGCAATTTACTTCTATAGAGATACCACCTCAGAAATCCAATGAGTGGTTGCCAGGAGTTGGAAACGACTCAAGGGCAGTGAGTTTTCTGTTGTTTTTTTTTTGTGGGGTGGAGGATCCAAATAATGTCCAAGGATATACTATTTTGCCTTTCATCTTTGTTCACTTATTCTCTTTTCATATTGGCCTTATCTTTCATGTTGTTGTTGTTGTTATGTGCCATGGAGTCGGACCCGATTCATAGTGACCCCTCTTTGGGTTTCCAAGGCAATATCTCTACGGAAGTGGATTGCCCCATCTTCCTTCCGAGGAGTGGCTGGTGGATTTGAACTGCCAGCCTTCCGGTTAGCAGTCAAGTGCCTTAGCACTATGCTACCAGAGCTCCCTTATTTTTTCATGTTAGATACATCAGGAAAAATACTGCATTATTTTAACTAATAGAAAAAAAAAAAAAAAATCATCTGCAGTCCACAAATCACTTTTTAGGGAAGATTCTGGTTGGCCAATGCCTGGGTCACCTATTATACTATATAAAATGAGTTTTCTAGTAGTAGGAGTTGTTCTGTTTCCAGATGAAAGAAGAAAGGAGTTCACCATGTCCTTGCTATTTCAAGTGTTGTCCAAAACAGCAGCAATGGTATCATTTGGGAGCTGGTTAGAAAAGCAGAATATCAGGACCTACTCTAAAATATTGGCCCAGAATCTGCCTGTTTACATGATCCCTCGGTGATTTGTGTTTACATTAAGGTTTGAAAAGCTCTGCAAAACATCACA